TCGTTGGAAAGAATATTAAATGCTTGTGAGTTGGGATGAGGGACTGAAAAGAGGGTGTAATGACATTTGCATTGAGAATTCTGAGAAGAAAAATAAAGGGACACTTTCTGAAGTTCACATAGATTATGTATTTGAACACATAACAAAATTAGATTCTTTGAAACAACCCTAACCCAGAGGGAAGCATTAATTTTGGCTGAATCACAGTGATCTGGGGAAGTCCTCTTCTGTGTCTAGGTTAAGCTGACCTAGTCTTTCTCTTGCTCTTTTCCTTTCTTCTTACTTTGTTGTGGTGGGGTAAGGGTTTGCACTGGTGGGTTTTGGTAATTTCTTGGTAGGCTTCAGAAGTGTCAAAGGGAATTGTACACACTGCAGGACCGGCATCAAAAGCCATTTGTGCTCTGTCCTATGAGCATTTTTATTATTATTTATTTTGTTTTGTTGTCATTTTACAACTTGGATTGTGAGTGACTTGATGAAAGAGCTCCCAGCTGGGAGCTGTTTATATTAAGTGAACCTTTGTTTCATGAAATACTCTGGCAAATACTTTCAGCACCTATTACAATATGTAATACAGGAGCAATGAGCCATAAATAGCATGGTTGCACGTGCATCATGTTTCTCAATCTTTTCAGACCCATGAAGGGCTGGCAAGTGAGGTCCTTGTCTTGGGAATGCCATTGTGTCACAGTTTCCCGTTGAGGATGTATCAATCTGCTTCCAAGTTCTGAGACGTGTGCAGACCATGGCATGGCATCCTCAGATCCAGAGAGTTCCTCATGAAAGGCCTGTATATGCTAGCATCGATGACGCTCGCAAAACTTATGATGCCATCTCTGAGGTGTACTTGTCCCTTTTCCATCCGCTTGGCTTGAGGTATGCAAAGGTATACAGCATCTCATTGTTGTTCTTATATCAGCTCATTGGACTAGTCATAGTTCTCTGAAGCACTTCCATCCCAGCTCCCATTTTTTATCTGGCAGTTATGGCATCATTATTCCATAGCTGAAGCCACAAGTGGTTCCATCAGAGGTTCCATGAGTTCCATTTACTTGCTGGTGTGGGTGAGGATCAGCTGAAGCTCTGCACAAATTGTGACTTTTCTGCTAATGCAGAACTTGTGCCAGGAGATGTTTGTCTATGTTGCATGGGACAATTAGAACTGAGTCCTGGCATTGAGGTCAGTTCATTTTGTATTATATATCTGATGTGCTGTATTGGGTGAATAGTTGATATAGCTTTTATTCAGGTGTAATTAAATGCATCTCCTCACCACAGAGCAGTTTGGATTGATACAGTGACAAATGAGGGGTATAGGTGTAGGAACATAGGTTGTGCTGTTTGGAGTATTCTTAATATAATCATCACTGAGTAGTTATTACTTTAATGCAATTAATAAAGCTGTCATCTCAATATGATTATGTTTGAGATTCCAGATCAAGAAATTTGCTTCCTGGATGGTGAAAGATTTGGAATTCATCTATCAATGCTGATGTTCTATAATATCAAGAATTCACAGTGAGCCCTATTTCTCTCATAGGTTGACCTCTCCTTCCACCTTCAGACTCATTACTCTGAACCTCTGGGGCGATACAGACTTCTGATGGGACTGTTCAGATGGGATGCTTCAGACTCGGGCTGTCTCTGCTACTAGCTGACATTTTTGAGGTCCTTACAGGACCAGATCCTTAAGAGATGGTCTTGCCCAATCCCATAGCACCTTTCCTGGTAGCTCTTGTGCCCCCAAAGGTTTGTTTCCTCCTTGGCCTTTAGTTTCATACCTTATCATGAAACTACTGTACTTGTAACTACTTTGTTTTTTAAGGTCTTATAGAGGTCTTAAGGCCAATGCATGATTTCTAAAGTAATTTGTTTCATTGACAGTTGCAGTATTCGTTATGAAAGGGAATCAAAAGTAATTTCTTCCCTATGTTCAAATTAGGCACACTTATGCCAGAAATGAATGTTCCCTAAGTAAGTTATTTTATCCATATACCTAGTGATATGGCCGTGCTATGGTATGTTGAATTAATATGCATTTTAAGTTATTTAATAAGTGATAATGTTATTAGTAATAATAATTGTATTTTAGAATAAGTGAGGCCTTGATGTACCAACTCCTGACTGCATAATCTTGCACTGGTACTCATATCTTGCGAAAAAAAAGGCAGTCAGATTCATGTGAATATAACCTATAATGAATATGCCAGAGATGGAAACTTCCATGGTATAAGTGACATGCAATATACAGCTTTATCCAGTTCATATTCGGTTTTATCTCCAGTTAACAGAGACTCAAGAAACAAGGTCTAAACTTAAGTTAGATTGAATCCTAAACTACACTGAAAAATGTGAAATCATGACTCTTCTTTTGGAATGAACACCAACTAAATAACAGTCTAAATGACTTCCTTGGTTCTACCCTGGTCTCTGTCAATAGATTTGGCTTGCTGCCAACCTTATCTACCCCTTGATTCCTTTGCTATGACTATTTTCCTATCTTACTTCCCTTATCACACATGGGCTTCTTTCCTTATCTTTCTTTATAAGGCATCCTGCATTTAATGTTCTGCCAAGGCTTCCCCATGAGGTAAAAATCATTGATACTGGCAAGCATTGACATTGGGTTCAAAGCATCTCTGCATTGTGATTTGTGACTGCCCAAACATCTACCATTCAGTGGAGATCTTGTGTAAACTTATTCTTCAGAACACATTATTTTACATTGGCTCAGCTTAGCCCTGTTTTGCATAACTTACAGGTAATTAACAAATAGTTAATCATGGATTCTTCAATGGCTAATTGGAACCTATGGCCTTTGCACTGTATGGTTTTACTGATATTCTCATTTGACACATTAGACTTGTATGCTGTACTGGGTTCATTGCAGGATGTTTGATGCAGGGAATGTTGAAAATTTGAAAGTCACCGAAACAACATTATTCCAATTGCTTGTTTTAATTGTGCATCTTTATGATTCTGTAGCTGAACCACCCACTTGCTAGAAAATTCTAGAGTGAATATTTAATCTGATTTCTTACATACAATTGTTTTCATTCATTGTGTTAATTATGCCTGTTGTACTAATGGACATAGGCTCTTATGTAGACCATCAGAGGCCTTTTATTGTAATTTGACCTTTTCTTATAAGTCTCTCATGTGTCTGTATGTGAAATTTGCCTGCATGTTTTATTGGTACCAGGTCAAACTCCAGGTTAATTGCATGCACTTTACTGAATTTTTCCCATTTTACTTTTCCTGTACTGACCAGGATTTCTCTTCCATGAGGAATTTACAGGGTGTCCACAAAGTGACTATCTATGGGTGACATTTTTTTATTATAGACCCTGAAGTGGCTATTTTTTTCAAATTTGTAGTCTGACGTGGTATCAATCTCGGAATGGTGTCAGATCTCTCCTCCTTCCACTTTGCCAAGGCCAAGAATTTGTTTCCCACATCTGGTGCTTTATGACATTTTTTTATTCATTTGAATGGGAAATAAATTCGGACAATTCAGGGATTGTTTTGCCATTTGACCTAATTGCGACAACTTCTTATAGTTATCACAGTATTGATTGAATGATAGAGCACTTCAGGAATTTAAAATCGTGAATATTAAGGAATTTACTCGATAAATTAGCTCAATGTGTCTACCACTGATTTCCAGACATTTCTGAGCCTTTTGGCAATTGCATTATTGGCCATGAGAATTCCCTCACTTTTCTGACACATGGCATGAGAGATATTCTCATGTCATGTAATGTTGTTCAGATCTGTGGACTCACCCTCATAAACAATGCCTTTTAAGTAGCCCCAGAAGGGAAAAATCGTATGGGGTGAAAATCTGGAGATTGTGGAGGTCATTTGCCCTGGCTGGCAATTCAGAATGTTACACTACATGTGTTTCAAGCTGTTTTTGTAACAAAGGTGTGCTAAATAAATTCTCAGTCACACTAGAGTGTAGGAGCAAAAGATGGGATGCCATTCTGAGGTCCGATGATAAACAGCCTACAAAAATTTTAAAAAGTTGGTTCCCCCAGATTCAATGTGAAAAAATTGCCCATAGGTAGTCACTTTATGGACACCTGGTAGTTACTGTATATATGAGAGATTTCTATCATGTGGCACAGCCATCATGATAATCCTTGCCCAAAATGAGGTCATTGCAGTCATCTGCAATGTGGGAACCTGACCCTCTGGCCCTAATTCCTCTCACTAAGACTACTAAGTCCAAAAATTTTTGACCAAATAGCAGAAAGTCATTTGCAAGCAAGCAACATATTTACACTTTTTCCACATAATCACTACTGATATCAATGCACTTTTGCCAGCATTTCTGCAGTGCACGGAATCCCTGCAAATATAAGTATTGTGATCTGTCACCAAGCGCTGAATGGTTACCACCAATTCTGCTGTGGTGCTGGTTGTAGGTTGTCCTGTGCTCATTATCTTGGAGACTGCTCCTGCCATGCAGAAATTCATGATGCCACTTCTCCACTGTGTGCTGTAAAGGGGCCTCATCAAAGTATACAGCTTCCAATTTCTGCTGCATTTGGTTACTCTTCAGCCCCTTTTTCTTGAGAAATTTTATCACCTACTTATTCATAGCTGTATTGTACATGCAAAGTGTTGTGCTCAAATGTTACAGGTAATGAATCAAAATGTGTTATTTCTGCTGGATGGTTCTAGAAAGTTTATTATTGCAAGCAAACAAAATTTATTGTTCTAAACCATTTCTTTCATCCTTTTGGTCAACAATTTTTGAACCACTCTTGTATTGATATATTAGTCATTAAGGTATTAGGCCTCAATATTTAGTTATTCCTAGTGAAATTAATCAAATATGTTTGATTTTGACAAGGTTCCCCCCACACAAACATTCTCCTCCATCACTTGTTAGTCTTCCAAATGTGCACTGTGATGATGATAGTTGTCAATGGACTGTGGGAGTGAGAGAACTGATGGGTTTGGTATGGAACAGGATAAACTTGCTATGGCAGATGAGGCGCTTCTACTGGTGCCTCCTTGCCTGTGGTCTTCTTCTCATTGCTGCTGGCCTCCTCTTCAATGCAACCAACAGGATCTGCCAACTAGAGGAATTCCAGCTTGTCTGCAATGTCCAGCTCAAGGTTGCAGTTCAGGTCAGTCAGTTGACTCAAGAAAAATATTTATTCTGTCATTAGCAGTCTCTTCATATTTCTTTTTTTCTTTCAGGGTGAAAAAGCTTCAGATAAGGCTAAACCATGGATTCACATGGTCACTCCGACTTACCGGCGTCCCGAACAGCTGCCCGAACTCACCCGCCTCTCCCACACCTTGCAGCTTGTTCCTCGACTCCATTGGATTGTGGTTGAAGATTCCTTTACCTGCTCTGCTCATCTCTCTGCCTTTTTGAAGAAAACTCGTGAGTTGATGTTTTTTAATTGTAATATGGGTTTGGGTTAGGGTTAGATGCATCAACTTGACAGGATGTACAGCTTATTCAGTATGGTCTTCTTCACCTTGAGCAACATAATGTTTGTCTCTCCAGGCCTACCCTACTCTCATCTAGCAAGTCCAATGCCAGAATGTTTCCGGGGCCAGGCAGGTCTACCTCGAGGTGTATCGGGTAGACGTACTGCACTCGATTACCTGAAGGATCTCTTGAGTCATGAGGATCCCCCTCTTCATGGAGTCCTATACTTTGGTGATGATGACAATACATATGATCTGCAGCTCTTTGATGAGATCAGACGCACCAATGGGGTTTCCATGTTTCCTGTGGGACTGGTGGGGGACTATGGGATCAGCTCCCCAGTTGTGAAGAATGTAAGCACTGTTTATGCATATGAGGATAGAATTTTTACATTATTTTGAACAGTGAGAATTGTTTGCATTGTAAAAAATTATGCTCAGATGTAGTGTTCCTGTTCTGTGAGATTGCATTTGGTTTTGTAATTAAAAATATTTTCGCTTTTTTTATTGTTATATTTGCTTTGAATGTGGTATCAGTTAACCATACCTGCTTCTCATTGACACACTGTGATGAGGAATGTGATCAAAAGTGGTGACCAAAAGTATGGTTGTGTGTCAAGAAATGTGTTCAGATATGTGTTAGGATGAGGAATCTACAGTGAGTGTGTTAATGAATGAGAACGGCAGAAAAGGGGAGAAATACGAGATATTAATAAAACTAGGAATGAAGCAGTGACCCTGAGCTGAAGAAAGCAGATTAAATATAGTAATGATTTCAATTGATCTTGAGACCAATAAAAGATGCCATTAATAATGATGAAAAAGGGCAAAATCCAACAAAAGAAAAGTTGATAAAATACTGACTACAGAAAGTGTGCACTGAAATATATGTTGTTATATTCTATTGGTTTGTTTTTTTTTTATTTTTTTAACTGGATTATGATAGAGCTGTTCAACAGTGGATGGTCCTTTTAATGAACATTTTTGCTTTTCTGCATTAAGTGCAAATTCTGAGTTGGCAACATTTAATCCTTTCACTAATGAAATGATTAAATTTTTTCCCTGCTCCTAGGTATACTTGTTTTCCATCATTGTTTTCAGCCATAGTCCTGAATATAACTCAACAGTGAAAGGGTTAATGTACTGGAGCATGTGAATATGTGATTGCACAATAGATATGAATATGGTGTGTAATACTGTAAAATTTGCAAATAACATTAAGATAACAGATTCCATCTAACCTTACATGAGCAGAACATCAAGGCATCTCCAGGAGAAAAATTAGCTAAAGGATTTAGCAAATGAAGTGATTCCTTTCCTGAGAGGCATGCAAATAGATTTTGATTGTATATAGGGTCAGGTGGTGGATTTCTATGACTCGTGGCCTGCTGATCGAGTATTCCAAGTGGACATGGCTGGCTTTGCAATTGGAACAAAGTTCCTTTTGAAGCACCCAAATGCCACAATGATTTACAGGCCTTCATACGGAGAAGAATCCTTCCTCCAGTCGCTCAACATTGCCAAGGAGGACATTGAACCTCTGGCAGATGACTGCACCAAGGTCAGTCTTGGGTTTCATGTTGTGAACAATCATGGAATTAGTCATTTCAGATGATGAAAAAATAAACAAAAACATTTTAGGTGCTGGTGTGGCATACGAAATCTGCAATGAACTCCATGTCGGAGCCCCCTCCTTCGAGCACTGCAATTGGCACAAACTTGATAGCATTGAGTAAGGTGTTGGCTTCGTGGGGGGTCTTGACCTCTGACTCAAAATCCACTGGTGATGAACCCAAAGGCATTTTTTGACACTAGTCAGAAATCTTTTTTCCATTGTAATTTTTGCATTTTTACTGCCAAAACCTCTTCCATTTTAAATTATGTGATTTTCAGACATCTACTTCTTATTTGCATTAGGGATTTCATTCTTCGACAATAGTCAGCCTTTCAAAGTGTATACATGAGATAAAAAAGATAGGAGAAAGTTTTGTCTTTGTGATAGACAACATGCTTTATTGGAACTTTTTTTAACTTGATAACAGAGCTAGACTAGTTGCCTATATCTATTCATTAATAACATGATTTTCCTATGCACAATTCTTTTTCAAAGACTGATCTGTTCAAATGCTGCCTGCATTTGAACAGATCTTATATGACCACATATTGGGTTTTCCTCTATGCTATCTTCAAGTCCTGCCATTCCATATTGAAATGGCTCCTTTTGTGAAAGGTTTCTCCCTTGTAACGGTGAATTTTTTTGTTAGGGGCAGATGCTCTGTTTGGCAGAACCCATTGCAGATCAAGTCACCATAGGTCAGCTGTGACGACAAAGTGTGCTATTCTGAGCTCATCAGACAGGATTCTAAGCACCGTTGAAATTGCCCATGTTTCTGCCTATGCCATCATTCCAAATGGGCTGCTGGCTTAACATTTGGTCATATCAAAGAAGCCTTAGATTTTTTAAATCCTTCCTCTGCCTTCCTTTGGTGGAAACAGAAACATGAATTGCAAATTAATTATGGAGTAATATTGATGCAGGATGACACACTTTGTGACAAACTGGTCTTCATTGGGGACAACTTAAAGTCTATGGCTATTTTCCATGTAATCTTGTAAGACTGCTAATTGCATCCCTGCCAAGTTTTTTTTTTGATCAGCAAAAGGGCAACAGAAGACTTCTTCAATAGAAGTGGCTGAAAGGTACTTGGGCTTGCTCAAATAGTGACTCTTGAAAGGTAGACTTTTTGGCTCCTCTGACACCGTGTTGATCAAGTGTTCCTTCACTGATTTTACATTTTCCCACAGCTCTCTTGTTCAAATATAAAATGTTGAAGCAGGTAGATTTCAAATGTGGAAATTGCCTGCCTGTTTTAAAGGCTTCAACCCTCCTGGAATGAGGAGATATTGCATATAAGTGAAGAAGGAATTCAAATAGGCTTCTAATTTGCACTAGAATGTAATAATAAATCTGTCAATCTTTTGCTTAAAAAAAAAAGAAGATAGAGTGAGAAGTCACCTGCTTGAAGATGAACTTACCATGCTTTTCTGTTCATAGATCTTTCATCAGACCTGAGGACAATAATGCTTTTCCCTTGTGCATGGTAGGTGTTGATATCATTCTTGGTGACATCATAGTCATGCCCATGATGCTCAATTAGGCAGCATTGCTACTCAGATTAGGTATTGAGTACTTAACTGCCCTTTTGCTTCTTCCAATAGTGTTTAACCCTATTGCTGTGACTGAGGATCAGTTCCAAATCTCGTTTATCATGGTCGATGTCTGTGATTGGCCGTGTTTTTTGCATTGCAATCATAAGCAACAGCTCAAAAGTCATTATAATGTATCTCTTTTCTGTACTGCTGCAAGTTGGAGCTATTTTTCATTGTGGCAAGTGAGTACAATAATTCTTTCCAGACCTTCTGCTTATAAGTATGAACTTTGTACTTTTAGTTATGTGATATATCTCTAAATTTTGTCATCTTGCTTTGTGCTTTCATTGCCCAAGCAGCACATGACATCCGTGCAATGTTGCTGCAACATGATTTTATGACCACTATGATGTGTAGTGCATGTACATGTCAGGGGAAGAACCACCTCATTTAGTTCCGTGAAGTGACAGCAGTATTAGTCCTTTACTTCCTCATTCTGCTGTCAAAATGAGGAATGGCATCTACATTCCACAAACCTTTCCCACCTTTACCCAACATTGGGCCATCATAATATGTCATCTGGGACAATTAATAATATCCATGAGAGGGTTAACTAGTCAATAGCCTTCCAGTTTTTCCAAAATGCACTTTAGGGGTCAAGAAATCGTGGATGTCAAATGAAGTTGGTGCAACATCATTGCGACTTTCACGATGATGTGACCTGAATGCAATGTCAGTGCAACGTTATGTGTCGCTTGGGTGGTAGTTTCAAGGCAAATTTTTCTTTTCTTGTTTGCAACACTCCAACAACAAAGTCTGAACCTGTTTTTGACCTAGATTAAGCAGCATCTACTGCTTTTAAACATGGATATTTTAGTCATACAACTAACCCCATTGCTCTGTGTCTCAGTCCTGAATTTCTGATACACCATGAAATTATTTTGCATTTTTTCTCTTGACCAACCTTGTATTTGACATAGCATTATGAAAACCATTGTGATAATTGGTTGAAGTTCTCAATCATCCAACATTCTAGTTGCCAAAATTATTTTACGCTTGTTTCTGTTTTCATGAAGTTTCCATATCAGTGGTGCTTATGCAAGGCTAGTGACAAGGACGTATTGCTTGCTTGTTGACAACATTTGTGCAAACTTGGAAGTGGACTTCTTCCCATGTCAATAAAGATATGGCTGAACCTTGCTGTCTTTGTTGTTTGTTCTAATCTGATAACTATATCATTGAGGGCGTGGCAGCTACATGCAATGGGGAGGAGTCATCCCAATCCCTCACAAAATTCATGCAATGTTTAACCTTTTTGCTGTTTGCCCAAGTATATATTTGGGCTTGTGTGGGTGGTAGCCCAGGTATGTTCTTGGGCTTAGACCATTCACTGTTTCTAGGTCATTTCACTGCTATTTAGGGATGCAACCACTATTATTAGTAATTTTCATAAAATGACTTTTTCTTGCATAAACCACTGTTTCAGGAAACAGTTCCAAATATTATAACACAGGGGGGGATGGTAGATATTTTTTCCTATGAGAGTGAAAGGGTTAAATCTACACAGTATGAGATTTGATGAAGAAGTGAAACAACTGCTGTGATTACCAGTATTGTATAGCACTTCTTTGTTTTTACCCTCTTCAGTCTCCTACTGTACTTATCAAAGTTCAACTTTGTTTTACATCCAGCTTCCAAATCCAAAATAGTTCCTTCCTTCCCTCCCTCCTTACTCATCTCCTGCCTCATTTCATTGTAATTAGTTTCTCCTCTTTTAATTGAGATGAGTAAGGGAATTAGCCACAACTTGCATGATCACTTAGACCCACAGTCATCCTGTATCCTTCGAGCTTGCCTGACTCTTTGACTTTGGTTCTGTTTCACTCCATTAGGCTTTGGTTGGAGACACCTTGCCTCATCCCTTCTTGGAGTTCTGGAATCAAGCAGGTTAGTTGTGAAATATTTACCTTGGTTCTTGATTTTCTTTTTCTTGTCTCCCTACTGACTCACTTGAATGTCATTGATCCTTGGTCAATTGATATCACAAGGTTTGTGTAATTATAGTTTTTTTTTTCTTGATTTCAAAAGGACGTTGCAAGATCAACATTGAATGGGGAGCTAATTCAGCCCCCCTGCAAAATGTCTGGACACTCCTTTCCATTATAGTAGAGGGGAATTTTTAAAATGGGAGTCTGAGTTTACTGAGAGAGGGTTTTTCTTTTTTGACTAGGTCAGGTGGGTGTTGCATGGTAGAATGGGAGGCCAGTGGGTTCATGATGGCTCATCCAACATCATGTTGCTTCTCCATGCCATACTTGATGTTAGTGCTTTATCTCATGTTGGTGTTCTCAGCTTTTATCCTTTGCTACACAAAAAACTTGACACTGTTTGCTTTAATATATTTTCTAGGCCCCTGTGTATCACCTGGCATTGGAGGTTTTGTTGCTGATCTGGGTCTTTTGGCTCATTTTCCGCAAAAGCTACAATCCCAGAGAAAAGGCCACTCTCTCAGAAAAGGTAGAGGCAGCATTGATTATATTCTGAGCAGCTTCTTGTTCTGTGTTCATTCTTTCCTTCATTTGGGTTTTGTCCCATCTGTTATTTCATACATTCTGTGGTATCTGTACCTGTACATTAGACATGAGTGACTGAAAAGGAAGGTGCAGTTATGAAATGTACTAGAATGGGGATAGCAATCTGGGGAAACAGGCTTCCATTTCATTATGAATTCCCAATGATGTCTGAGTCTTTTTGCCATGAGTATATTTGTTTATTCCTGATGTAGTATGAGATGTATAATGATTCGTTTAATGTGTAAAAGGAGAAGCAGGAGCTGATAGAAGAGTGGGAGCCAGAGCCATTGGTCCCAAAGAATTCTCCTTCCTATGATCCAGATCACCCTGCCCTCCATCTCCGCATCATACAGTCGAGGGTATGATCTGGCCGTTTCCTAGTTTTTTGTTTCATTCTCCTGTGAAAGGAGGCTGGCAGGAACTTTCCTTCATTTTCCTTTAGATAGGAAAATATATGGTGGTGAATGGAAGGAAGTGCCTGAATTTGTCCAGTCACAACTACCTGGGTCTGAACGAAGAGCCATCTGTGCAGGAAGCAGCCCTCAAGTGCCTGGAGAAGTATGGGGTTGGGTCCTGTGGTCCTCGGGGCTTCTATGGCACTGCAGGTCATTAGAGTACTTAAAGTAACTGTCTCTTTTTAGCTTATAGTTAGAAATTTTAGATGTGGTTTCACTATAGAAGACAGTGATGTATCTTCATGCATTCATTGCATTTCCAATATATTATTACTTTGGTCATGAATCATTCTTACGTGAAGTATTGGGAGTGTGAATATAAAATGTTTTGAAGCTAATGCTACTGCCTCATGGGTTTTACAGCTGAGCCAATGTTACTGGCTTTGCTGTTGCTTCTGTTGGGTGTAAATGATTATTTGTCATCTTGCTTTTGAGGTGATGTTATCTGCGATCTTCTGATATGCATTTTGGGTCACATGGAATTAGATGAAGGAGGTCATCATTGTGCAAGTTGGCTTAAGTTGAAACAAGGAAGTGTAGAGTGCCGATCCTGCATGAATTGCATTTTATATATAGCTATTTTTTTTAGATTCATGCTGAGTCTGCACTTCAGACTATGTTTCTGTAATAAATAAATTTTGCTCATAAAATTTTATATGTGACCAAATGAGAAAATTGCTGTTGGTTCATCTCAAAATGAGAAAACAAAAGTAAGCTGTTGCCTTGGCAACAAACTCAAGTATGTCACAAAGTCAATAGAATGTGGCTCAGCTGTACAACCCATGAGTACCAGAGGCAATATATGTCTGAAGACCTTTGCAGTAATCCTCTTATTTGCCTTTCTGCTGTCACTGTCATTTCCATTTTCACAGATGTACATTTGGACTTTGAGGAACGATTGGCAAAATTCATGAACTCTGAGGAGGCATGCCTGTATTCATATGGGTTCAGCGCCATTGCTTCTGCCATTCCTTCATATTCCAAGCGAGGAGATGTCATCTTCGTGTCAGTATATTTTGCCCTTGCTTTGACTTCTTTGCTGTGTCTGAATGTGTTGATGTTGGGACTAATTTTATGTGAGCCATACTTCTTTTTTTTTTGCTTATTTTAGTGATGAAGCTGTGAACTTTGCCATCCAGAAAGGCCTGGATGCATCACGCAGCAAGGTCAAGTACTTCAGGCATAATGATACTGATCATCTGTTGGAACTGCTCCTGGAGCAGCAGAAATGGGATGAAAAGGTGCCTCCTCCTGGCATTTCACTGGATCATGCTCTTCCTTCATTTGTGGAGTATATGTTAGCCTGTTCTTTTGTACTTAGTCTTTTAGTTGCTCTTTTTCTGATTTAGAACCCAAAAAAGGCAAAGGCAACTCGTCGTTTCCTGATTGTGGAAGGAATCTACATGAATACTGGGGATTTGTGTCCCTTGCCAAGGCTTGTAGAGCTCAAGAAGCAGTTCAAGGTGCGACTCTTTGTCGATGAGAACATATCCATTGGGACCCTGGGGGAGACTGGACGGGGAATCTTTGAGCACTATGGCATTCCAGTATGTTCTGTTACATCATTGGTTTTATTATAACTTGCTGTTGTATGAATGAAAATACCTCATGAAGGGATGGATCCCTTACAGGAGATAGTCTCATGTTTTACCTTGAAATTGTTTGTGATATTTTAAAGGTATCCTCACACTGATTCTTTATGTTCATTCAAGTGTTTGGTTTGATTGTGGGTAGAATACAGAGGCAGATATGATTTGTGGGACCTTGGAATATGCACTGTCAAGCATTGGGGGCTTCTGTGTTGGTTCCTCTTATGTCATCGACAATCAGCGCCTCTCTGGACTTGGCAAGTCTTCTTGTATTTGAAGTGGAATCAAAGCATCAAGAACATCTATATAAGTAGTGCATTTCCTTCCAGGCTATTGCTTCTCTGCTTCCCTGCCTCCATTGCTAGCAGCTGGAGCCATGGCTGCCATAGACTACATTGACTCAAGCAGTGGAAAGGCTGCAATGGAGAAACTTAGACATAACAGCCTTCTTGTTGGTGTCCTTCTGTCTTACTTTGGTTAGATTAAGGAGGAACCCTGTGTGGTATATTCCCTATTTCTGATTAGGCACACACAAAATGGGAAGATGTGCCAGGGATGGAGCTAGTTGGAGATCCTTTGTCTCCTGTCAAGCACCTTCAATTCCAACACCCTTCAAAGAACCGGAAAGAAGACTCAAGAATCCTGCAAGAGATTATCAAAAAGGTTTGTGGAGGATGTTAATTTCTGGATTGTTGGAATAATTTTTCAGAACTGCTCTCACTCAATGTTGCCTTGCTGGAAGAAAAGGAACAAACGTATCATGGAATATTGGTTAGTGTATGCTTTCATAGGAACATGGACAGGCCTACTGTCTGCTATGCTTCTATTGCCACTGTTTTGCTTATGCTTATTATCAGATAGAGTACACTAAAGTGAATAGGAAAAACTATCATCATCTTTCATGTTTGAACCAGGCAGAGGAGAAGGGGGTGGCCTTGACAGAGGCCAGGTATGTGGAGCAAGAGGATTTGTGCATGCCTCCTCCCAGCATTCGCCTTGTCGTCTCTTCCACACTGGACGACTCGGACATCCAGCGTGTCGCCGATGTACTCCACGAATCTGCTCCTGCTTCTCGGTCATATCACTGATTATCCATTCCTGTCATGTGCACAATTTGCATAACTTGTTTGTCCTTGATCAAAAAGTTATATCACTGTTGCTGTCAATTGCGGTACCAAATAATTAAATGTGTTCTCTTGGAAGAGTTTCCTTCTTAATCATATTCCACCAACTTGAAATGGCCTCAGAACTGTCTTGAACTTAGAAATTTTGGGCTAATCCTCCAAGGTGGAGAGGATGATGCCCAACTGTGGCCTGAGTGTATGCCAATGAAGTCATACACCATGTCACTATCACAACATTGGTGGACATAATTACTCCACCGTAAGTGATAAACTTCAAGACATTTTCATACATATAAGGTGTATTCCAAATAAATTTCATTTTCTGTTGATAGTTTATTCTATTTTCCTATTTTCCTGCTGAAAAAATTATTTTATTTGCTACCATTAAAGAAAACGAAATCCAACAAATTCTGTTATCACACTATATTTTCAATACACAATCTTTGCTAATTTGATTAAAGATAATATCCCATTCTCTACAGTTTCCAGCTAATTATTCTTGGTCAGAGTGGTTCTCAGGAAGAAACATGCATGGCTAAATGAGGTGGGCTTCAGACACGCCCATGGAAGGGTTGTTTTCTCAAGGATGCTTGAAATAGTAAATATGAAATATCTGCACTTCTATGATGGCTTTCAAGTGTCAGAGTGATGTAAAAGGCTGTGTTAATGTGTGTAAAATGACTCTGTGAATGAGATCGATTATTTTATTTTCATGAAGTTTCTTCAGTACGATGATGCTCTGTTGAACAACAGAACCATTTGTTACCAGAGTCTCAGAGCTCATGGAGGGAGAAGGAATTGATAGACTGATGATATGGAAATGCACTTTCATTTATTACTTTAAAAATCCAATGAGGCAGGCTTCAGTATGTGGTTGGTTTGTGCTTCCTTCAAACATGATCATGCATGAAGAGGATAATATACATTTCAATTAAGTTTTCAGTGTGACTAATGATACAGAATACAGAATGCAGCAAAAGTTCTTTTAACTCTTTTCGAAGGTTTTTAATTTTTATTTAAATACAGCAATGCTTTTTCTTTATTTTTAGGTAATTTTTAAACCTGTTTCTTTCCTATCATTTACTGAAAATTTCATCGAGATCAGTCGACACTAAACCACCAAGTTATGGCTAATCAAAGTCAGTGTGCCACTGTAGTTGAACAGCATTGCCAAGGAGTTTGCAGTTGTGACATCGCAATGCAGCTTGGTCTCCACGAACAAAGTGTCCGTCAAATCGTCAAGGAAAGGCTGAAGCTTTATCCATGCAAAATTTTAAACGTTCATTTGCTCACGGATACTGTATCCATGAACATTTGTGAACAATAAATGTTTTGAATGGATAAACCTTTCCTTGACAATTTGATGGATGCTTCGTTCACTGATTCAAACTTCCTTTGCCATCTTTCTCATGAACCAATTTGGATTTAGTACTATATACAGGGTGGGCCAAAAAAAAGTGAACCATTTTGGAAAGATCATTTCTCCCAAGCATTTGGCCAAAACTTAAAAATGATGATATCACTGTGTAGGCCATTCAATTCTCCACAAAAAATGATATNCACAGGATGCTGGAGCGGTGAAAACCCATTTGCCTCTAATTGCATTCAAACACATTTTGATGCCAAACTAAGGACGGAAGAACAGTTAAGATTTAATTCTTTTTTGTGCAGAATTGAGCCAGCTGCATTTTGAGTGCTTCAAAAAAGTAAAAAGAGCATTTTTGAGTAACATAGCACCCCCTGAAGGGAGGTTCACTTTTTTTTGGCCCACCCTGTACATCTTCAAGGATTAATTAAAATTAGCAATTTTTCAGGGGCCAAGTACCATTGCTTCATGATTAAGTATATACCATTCAGTAACCTCTGCATGGAGTTTATGATCTCTTTTTGTGATCCAGCCTCAAACTTGGGAAGTTTGAAATGTGCCATATTTGTCAATTTTATATGGATAAGGACTCAAAAAAATTATGTCTGACTGCATTCTTGCGCATATGAAAGATTGAGGATCCATGTTTCACATTCTGCACGAAGGACTAGTGACTAAGTATGAATATGATTATGAATAATTTACTTCATCTGTTTAAAACTTTTTCCCACCCTTCTAAAAGATTCCAAAGAAATTTACATGTAGCCCTCTTTTCTATCCAGATTATGGCTCGTAAGTTCCTAGAGGGCTTCAGCATACCCATCTCAAAATAATCTTCATCAATGGCATAACGAAGTAGGGGCTGTAGCCCCCCACCCGCACTTTGGTCAAAATGCATCTGCCACCCCCCAGAGAAGTTAGGGAAAATCTAGCCCCCCTCTTTGGCAAAACCCTGACGATGCCACTGTTCTTCATGCCATTTTTGCCCTTTCATGGGGGGGATCTGAAGAATCTCTCCCTAGAGAGAGGAAACAGTGTTTGGTGCCCGTTCGATAATAAAATCTCTTGAGTACATTTCTGTGCGGTCATATTTACTAAATTTAGCGATGAGAAGATTCAAGAAAGGTCCCAGGGGATGTTAGAGTTTCAAGAAGAAAGTAAATACGTTAAATATTGTCGTGGAATAATAGAGTATTTTTGCATATGCAGTTACAAATGTGTTTTGCTGCTCAAAGAGTGAATCGTATCTGGAATCTGCCATCTCCCGGGAACCCTGAGGCGCGTCTCCATCGGCCAAACTCCGGAGCGATTGACGAGAGGTTCAGATGAGCGTATGGAGCAGAGAATGAAGGAGGACGAGGGGGGGAGGAGTCCCGAGGAACGTGGGGGGTCGATTCCAAAAGGAGTGGATTAGGAGGGAGAAGGAATATGGAAATACGTGGGAAACGCGAACCGAAGGAGAAAGGGAAATCAGATCTCTACCGAGAGACGAAGAAGGAAAAAGGTGAAGCCTCAACGGAGGCGAAGGGGAAACCAAGGGAATGGGGGAAAGGCATCCCCGTCCCCCGTCTTCCATCTTCATTCTCTCCACCTGCAACACCAAAGGAAACAGGGCGCAAGAAACCGTTCAAATACAAGACCAGCCATAACACTTTCACCTAGGGATGGTTCCGACACGGCATCGAAAACCTGCCATCGGCCGATATCTCATTTCGGCACCCTCTATACCCAACCGATAACCACCACTCGAAAAAAAAAACTGAAACATAAACAAGCCAAGTTGAAGCCGAACCCCCCCCCCCCCCCTACCCCTCCGCTCCACACCCAAACGGATGCAAAGGCACTCCAAAGGCACAGCGGAATCGGAATTCCTCACTTTCCCCCTTGAATCCGCCTTTTCCCCTCAATCAATTACAAGAAAAAGACTTTTATTCGAAGCCTACAAACACGAATAAAATTGGAACTCCCGTTCTGGAAGGCTTTCACGCCAACAACAGCATTTATTCGCCTTTTTCTCTGACAACTTCGCACAAATCAAGAGAAAGTGAACCTTCAATCCTGCATCGAACATTACCGTCAGCATTTTTTTTTTTTTTTTTTAGCTGCATGTCACAGCAAAATTCGGTCTCGACTCACCGACAAAAAAAAAAGTTAAAAACCCCCGCGATCGAGCAGGTTCGTGGTTCCTTTCCCTCACGGGAAGCCCAGATGCTCTGCGTCATTCTCCGATACAATGAGACCGGATTTTTTTTTTTTTAAGGCTCCCTACATTCAGCACATTTATAAAATGTGGCATCAAGTAGACCAAATGAAGTTTAGGTCGTACCAGCCATCGACATCAGCCGCAACGAATGAAGCAGCATCGGAAATCGACCAAATTCCCCCTTCCCCTCCCCCTCCCCTTCCCCTTCCTCCTCCCCCCCTTTAACTTTAACCGATTTTGGAATTCCGATCCGAATGGAAAACCAACGAAACGCCACAAGGCCGTCCAAGACAGGAGCTGAACGACCATTTACATATCGACTTCAAGTCCTTCGAATCGCGAAAATTTGTTCCAAGTTACCGCCCCGCCCCGCCCCGCCCCGCCCCGCTCCGCCCCCCTCCCATCTCACACTCCATTCATCCAAATCTGGACGCGAATTCTTCCCACACCGAATTTCTCCAGGGACGCCTAAAATACTCGCCGACGGCAAAAGAAGCCACAAGTCCGCAAAAATCCTTCCTTTTCTCAAGTTTCAATTTAAACAAAAAAATTATATATAAAAAAATATATTACCATTTGAAAAACCGGCAAGAAATCGTGCAAAATAAATTGAAGCAGATTTCTTTCACACAGAACCAAAACTTCCTTCCTGAGAAACAAATTAATAATTGACTTTCGTTTTTTTCCTCGAGGATCCTCGTGGCAAAGGACAGATGTCAAACTTTTCGTAGCTGCGACTAATTAAAAAAAAAATTATTGCTCACTCGCGATTGAAATATCTGCCACAGTCACGATTAAGGCCACTGATACGAAATGAGGCGAGGGATTAAAGGCTTGTCCTTGCTGGTGCAGGATTAACTCGAATTAAGTGTTGGGGGCGAAGTTCGACTCATTTTGGCGTCAGGGTTGTAGAGTGGTTGCGGTCGAATTTTCGGCTAAATATCTGGGGAATGCAATTGATCCGGCACGTTCATCGCTTATTCCCTGACGCCCTTCCACTGGCTTCAAACTCGGTGAAAACCGATGAAAACGTTAGGGCAAGTCTCGCGGGAGGAGAATATGGCATCAATGCGACCGTGAAACATGACACCGCGAAACATGACACCGGGGAGTGACGGGCGCAATGCAAGGTGCATTTGCCCTCGGTTTCCCTCTCCAACCGAAACACCGGTCAATCGAATCGACACCTTCCGCAAAGGGGGAATGCAAGAGAGAACTCCACAACGAGACGGGACCCAGGAAACGACAGCAACTCACCCAAGACGGCAACGCGACATCCGCCAAGCCCAGCAGACGAAAGAGGACTGCCGCGAGAGACCAGCCAGGCGTGTGAGTCTCTTTTCCCTCCCTCCCTCCTCCCCTGCCGTGCAGGAGCAAGTTTTCACGCACCCGTCTCTGCCTTGCATTCGCCTCACTTCCCTTTCTGCTCTCGGTGGGTCGACACGTTCTTCGCGTCGAGGGCGACCGGAATTTCCAACACCTTTTTGTTTATTTGAAGAGGACGGCTCGAAATCTTGCCCGTCCCGGTCATCTCTGCGGAGACAACCAAAACAGAAGAAAAAAACAGATAGCGTCGACGGCTGGAAGAGACGCGAGGAAACAGGGAACCACTGCAATGACGGAAAAAAAAATCGAATAAAGTATGGTTTGTATTCAATTCTGCAGGGTGACAAGTCCAACTTAGAAGAAACTTTCTTCTATCCAGTGGCGCAAGCCCCCCCCCCCCCCTATTGGGGAAATTCTGGCTGCGCCACTGCTTCTATCATGAAATTTCTTTCTTTCGCTCTTCCTCCTTCGCCATTCTTGACAGCCCAAATTCCATTCCAAGCATGGAAAAACTTTTCACCTATTCTAGCCTTGCTTGAGCAAGTCAAAAGAAAAAGGAAGTCTATTCACCCAAACCAATCAACAATGAAAGCGAACTTGTGAACATGGTCAGTGTTGTAGCCAGGGTTTCGCCAATGGGGGGGGGGGGGCTGAAGCTCCCCCCAGCCCCCTCCTTGCTATGCCACTGAACATGGTCATCAACTAAATACTTTGGAAACTTAAAAAGCTGAGCAATAATAGGAAAACACGATTGAATTGTGCAGCAATGATAAAAATTTTCAAATGGGTACGGTAAATATAGGGGTTATATTTTGTTACTTCATGCATATTAAGAGACTTTTTGATTTCCATTCAAATGTAGCATGTGTTTCTTTCTCTTCCATTTAATTTTCAATTAAACAAATGCGTTCATCTTGGATGAGACATGAGCTGTTGAATCGGACAATTCAATTTGGTGAAAGCTGGTTATGGAAACACTTCAGAGAATTTCAGTGCAACTCCGGAACATCCTTGTTTGATGGTCTCAGCCATATGCATTATCTTGCAATAGCACATTCTCTGATGAACCGAGTCAAAAAAGCCTCCAGAAAGTGATGCGTTACCACACAGGATTTGGACTATTCCAACCGTTTGTGAAAATTTTCAAACTTCCCTGTCACCCAAAAAGGAAAACAACAATGGAAAAGCAACTGAAATGTCTTCATTCTATGTAGAACTGGAGGGCCCAACATTGAAGCAGAATGGAAACATATGTCATCACAAAAACAGGGGTATTGAACTTCCAAACAGACATATCAATCTCTCAAAATTTGTCCCTTGTCAGATTCTTTCTCTAAGACGGGTATCACCGTGACCATCCATCGAGGCTTCAGAGAAGCCATGTAAATAATCCCTCACTTGAAGCAAGTTACAAGTCACCAAGTATACCAACAATAACTCACACAGAAGCCTCCTGAAGCAGAAATTAAATAGCAAGAAATACTGGTTATAATTGAGGGGGAAGGGTGTCTTTGAAGAAACAGTCATATTGGAAATTCATATCCAAAAAATATGTTTCTCTTTGTCAAGTGCCAGGGCAAAAACAAGAGCCATATAGCATAGGGAGGATACACTCTGAATTCAAGTACAAAGTGGAGTAATGGTGAAAACTCTCACTAAGCTCATGGGTATTTGGAATATGAATTTTGATCCCTAATCCTGACAAAGAACCTACTGAGACAGAAATTCAATTCTCTAATGATGACTATTCGCTAAAAAAGAAAAAGTTTCCCAGGCAGAATTCCATAAAATAGTTCATAATAATAACCAACCTAACTGCATACCCTAAAATCAATGAGCAACTATTCCTTTCTGGCAGTGTCTTCCTGGGAGAATATCTTGCATAAAAAAGAAAGCATCCACTGAATGCAACACCTGAGAGGTCAACTGGAGAAATATCGAAGAAGGAACAGCACCTGCTCTAAAAGGGTGAAAATTTAGGCACAATCCTTTGTTTGCCAGGTTAGCAAAAGCAGATTTGTATAGAATCCACATCTAAAGCCCAAGCAGTCAGGAGAAAATCACTCTTAGTAGACTTTCATACTTACACAGCTGCCATCTGCACTGATGATTAATTCACAACAATTTCTCATGACTTCCAATCCCCTTCAGAACCATACAAAAACAATGAATATCTTTTGTTTGATCACAAATGAATTTTTATTTATTGAGAATATCCTCCTTAGAGCAAGATAATTTAGAAGTTTAGCCATCCCCCATACATTCTCCACAAAACAGCCTAAATATGAGCAGCATATAAAGGTCTGGAAGAATGAAACTGGAAATAGTCCTCATGCAAGAGATATTAGTTTTCAGTCAAGACAGTCTCATAAAAGCCCTTGCATCTGTCTCTCAGTGGCTAACCTTCATTTTGTACTCACCATGTTAGCAAAATATGACTAGTTATAATGTCAGGATTGAAACAAACAAAGCCTCACAGGTAAGCTGAAGTGCTAGCAGAAGATATCTCAGATAAAGTTCCAAAAAATATGAGAATCACTTCAAGGTGTAAAAATGACCTATGGGAGTTTCAACAGCACACCCAAGTTGCCAAAATGACTTCCAATGCATAGTAGGAAACATCATCATTTGCTTGGTAAAAAAATCCTGATGTAAGATGTACATGGCTTCCTAAAATGGAATTGTCACATCTACTCTACTGATATTACTGTCATAGATAGGCATACCAATTAATCCAGAAAAAAAGCTCAGCATAGTACTTCTCACAAGAAGTTTCACATGCGCTTGAGTTTCCTTGGCTGCCTGGCATTGATGCTTGCTGTAGACACCAGGAAAAAGTTGCTCCACAACTTCCACACAGCAGAAAAGACTTTGGCCCAAAGACGCTGAGCAGCATCGGCCACTTTACGCAAACGCAGCCTTGCAACTAGTCATGACTGCTCTTTTTGGACTTCAGATTCCAACCCAAATGTTTCTAGAATCACACCCATTGGGGTCTTCACCAACCCAAAAGTCTCCATGCGACGAGAGAGCTTGTTGCGGATGTTTCTGAGTCTCAGGGAAGCATGAACCAGGATCACTAAAAAAGACAGTAAAAGTAAAAAAAAACCATATAAAATGAATTTCTCATGGCAAAAAAATGAGCTGGAGTAGGCCTGGAGCTTAAGATAACTCACAAAATATGGGAAGAAGGATGCCAAGGAGAAAGATGGCTACATTTCCCATCATGTAAACAATGAAATAGCAAGCACTGAAGACAATGATGACACTGATGATAGGATGATTCTGCTTGAAGTTCTGCAAGGACCTCTGAGAGTTGCTGATGTAGTAGAAGAGAGCAAAGGCAACCCCAGCAGCGAGCATTCCCAATAACATCTTCTGAGGATGCATGATCCTATTCAGAAAAAAATATAGTCAGGACTGAAACTCAAGTGATCACTAAAATATTTCCATCTTCTACAATAGCGAAGTTATATCCAGGGGGAACAGGCTCTCTAAGATGGTAATGTTGGTGATCCTACATGGGAATATCATTTCATGATCTACAGGAATCTCTTGTCACTACAGCCAATTTGAACACATGGGTAATTAAATGAAGGTTGGAACAATTTGAAAAAGAAAGTCCTCCTCCCATCAATACACTAAACATAAAAAAAGTTAATAGCTGTTAAATTTGAGCATTTCAAAGTTCCCCAAATCTTAAAGAGCAAAAAAAAAATCTTGAGAATGATGTGAGGCACCTTTTGGGGGTAGAAAAGTCAAAGTTGAGTTGAGATATTTTTCAAGCAATAGTGTAGGACCCACATAGCAAGCTGAGCCTAAGAGGAGGCTCACTAAATGTAATGCCTTAATTTCCACAAGCAATTCATTCCTGTCTTCCCATGTCCTTTCCATGTGCATTCATTAGAGATCTCTAGGAAAAAGTGTTATCTTAGGTGCACCAGACATGACAATGCTGAAAAAAATAATTGCCTAAAATGAACAACCTATAGTGTTTAGAGCATACACTGTTATTCTGCTGACTTGGCAAACGCATTGAAAAGTGAAATGAAATGCAGGAGAACTTGGTTCATCAGAATCTGTTTAAAAAAAGGAATATATTTTCATTTTGTCAAGCTCATAATCATGTAAGTCCAGGAATTTCAAGTATTAAGTATTGTTGAGTGAAAGAAAAGTAATGATAGGAAAAGTGGGGAGGCATAGGAACTCTGGAATATTGTTCTCATGCAATTCATACATCTTTTCCTTCATACTATACTACATTTATTTTTAACCTTTACTCAGGTAAGGCATTTTTATGGTAAAAATGCGCAAAGGAATTTTGAGAAATTTTTTCATAAAAGCAAAAATAAATTTAATTTAATTTTTGGATTCATGGATCGGTTCATGAAAGAGACATTAAATTCGTAATAAAAGAAAACAAGGGAGTAATACAATTAAATATACACTGGGGAGTCCAATGGACACCTGTTACCTGGAGAAGAGATAAAGTGGGAGGGGGACTTTCTTTTTCAAATTGTTCCAACCTTCATTTAATTACCCATGTGTTCAAATTGGCTGTAGTGACAAGAGATTCCTGTAGATCATGAAATGATATTCCCATGTAGGATCACCAACATTACCATCTTAGAGAGCCTGTTCCCCCTGGATATAACTTCGCTATTGTAGAAGATGGAAATATTTTAGTGATCACTTGAGTTTCAGTCCTGACTATATTTTTTTCTGAATAGGATCATGCATCCTCAGAAGATGTTATTGGGAATGCTCGCTGCTGGGGTTGCCTTTGCTCTCTTCTACTACATCAGCAACTCTCAGAGGTCCTTGCAGAACTTCAAGCAGAATCATCCTATCATCAGTGTCATCATTGTCTTCAGTGCTTGCTATTTCATTGTTTACATGATGGGAAATGTAGCCATCTTTCTCCTTGGCATCCTTCTTCCCATATTTTGTGAGTTATCTTAAGCTCCAGGCCTACTCCAGCTCATTTTTTTGCCATCAGAAATTCATTTTATATGGTTTTTTCTTACTTTTACTGTCTTTTTT